AAGAGTACATTTGGATTATTACAATATTTTTTTAAACTTCTTGAAGAATATCAGAATGGTGGTATAATGTCACAATCTAATTTTAAAAAAGAAACGCTGGAATTAATTTCAACTTTTCACAACTCTGCATTAAAAATGAATGATACAGAGTTTTTCCAACATTTATTAAATCAGTATCATCCAAATGGAAACATAAGGAATGAAAAATCAATTAATAACCATCATCAAAAAAATAAGGATAAAAATAATGAAGAGAAAAAAGACAATTTAGCTTTGGATTTGGTTGATGATATGTTAAAAGAAGTCAGTGATTCTGCTGATAATATTGAAGAAAAAATGAATAATAATAAATTTGTTGACAATCCAAAGGTGCATGGATCTCTTGAAACTGTTGTTAGATTAGAAAAAGATGAGGAAGATTTCTTTTTAAATAATAATGAGCAAGAAGGTGATTCACCTGATAATGATGAAACACATCACAAGTTGGTTGGGTTAGTCGATAGTGACAATAATGAATACATTCTTACTAGACCCCATGATTTAACTGTTTTTTATGAAGGTAAGGTGCAATGGAGTATTTTTAAGGAAAAATTTTCCATATTCCAATTTAATGATTAATTCTTTTATTAAAATATTTCAGATGCACGACTTTTACAAGATATAGTTGTTACAATAGTTTTATCTTTTGTATTTGGTTCAATTTCACATAGTATTGGATTACCAGGTATATATTGCATTCCAAGTATAAATGTGTGTATGTACAGACACACGTACATTAGTTATTAAACTAATTTACCTAATTAATTTATTATTTACATATTTAAAAAATATTTTTTAAACCCCGGATAAGCATTTTTGGGTTATATTGTTGCTGGATGTTTACTTGGACCTGCAGGATACAACGTAATCCAGGTATTTTTATAAATTAATAAAAGTTTTTTTGGTTCAAATATATGTATGTATGTATGTATGTATGTATGTTATGTTTGTTTATTTATTATTGTTTTATTTATTATAATTAAATACTATTTTATTTATATTATAACATGTTACAATGAATAATAATAATAAATAATGAAGTGATGACGATAGTGGTATAAATAAAATACAGCCAAATTACAACAATACAACTAGTATTATAACTAGTATCCATCAGATTAATTAATCTACATATTAGTGTAGATTAGTTCTCGAACATTGCTTGTTGGATAATTATTCGAAAGCTTATTTATTTTATTAGTATTATTATGTTAATTGAATAATTTTAATTAATATATATTTATATTTATATACACAATAATTATAAAGAGGAAAAAATTTTTCTATGAAGAGAATGAATGCAAACACAAAAAAATAAGCCCAAGCAGGAGATTATCAATTATTATTTATTTACTCTTTATTTTAATTTTTAGGTAAAAGGTATTTGTTTGTTACTAATATTTATTTAGATAATTTATGGGGAAATAACAGTCTTTTGCAGATTTATTTTTATAAACAACTTTTTTTTTACAATAAACAATTTTACAATAAAAGCCATCCGCTGCAAATATATGTATATATGTCACAGACGTATATATAAATAAATATCACTAATATTTTATTTTAGGATTTTTTTGTTTCGCGACATACAATTAAAATTTTTTATTTACCTTTGTGTTTTTTATTTTCGACGCAAATTTCTTCTTTTATCACAAAAAAAGACTTTTTAAAATTATATAATTATATGCAATCTTCCTCAGTTAGCCGTGATTCATAATCAATTTCTTATTCAAATTTAAGCCATTTTGGGATGAGACATCAGTTGGCACCCTTTAAAGTCACTATATAGTAAATCACTTTGAGTGCTCTAAAAATAATAGTTCTTTCGAGTTACAGTTAATTCAACTAAACCAACAATATCTAATGATTTAAATCGCACATTCCACTTTTACCAGATGTTATATGGAAGAGTCTTAAAGAAGATAATCTATAAATAGAAGATGTAGCCTTACCCCCCAGGAATCAGACTTTATCTCGATTCGTAATCTATTGGTAGACATACAACATCTAAAGGGTATCTACGTGAAAATTATATCAATAAAACTGGAGATTTTACACGTAATGAATCAATTGGTTCTTGACATCTCTGTAATATTAAAGAATAAATCAAATGTAGCTGCAAGAAAAATTTAAATTAAAAATTTAAAATTGTTGTTCCATCCACCAAGAGGATACAAAATGGTTGTTTTTCATTCCTCAAAGGCATTATTGACCAAGTGAAAAAATACAATATAACTGTCGTCTGACCATGGATCATCCATCACGGTGAACTTCAAATTAAAGACGCTTCATTTTTCTTGACCCAATTGTGAGAACTTTTATCCAAAGTGAAATAAAGGGATTCTATTCATTATTATAGTGAACGAATAGGTGTATAACAAAAGGAGGCTAGGGGTATAATAAATTATTATACCCCTGGCTTCTTTGGTTAGAAACTCCCATGTGTAAGTGTAATTTTGTGGATGAATGTTTTGCTCCCTGAATTTGAAACACAAGACACGATCAACGATCAAAAAAATGATAAAAATGCGCCAATATTTGGCCCACAAACCCCGCGAGTATCATTAGTGCAATGTGACCGGTCGTCTGCAATGAAGAATTTACTGGTAAAACGTGTGAATGTTCCATTAAACAAAATCTAAAGACTTTTAGATTTATGTACATTTCACGAGTCAATCATTGATGGAGATGTAAATGGTGCCGTAATCTACTTTTTAAAGTACATTACGAAAGACGTTGGGGGATACCTTCTTGTAGGCTGTCTATGCAGGACCTGTGTTTAGATATGAGTATTTTTTAATATTTTTTTTTTGTTTTTAAAGGAGGGGAAAAAAAGAAAAATTGTGATACAAAATTAAAAATCACACCCTCTTGTTTTCAAATGGGAAAAAGTAACATTGTTAATCTTAAATGTCCAAATTAAGTGAATTTTTATTTGTTATTTATATTTTATATAGTTATTCCAATAAATTATATTAGTTATTCCAATAAATTATATTATTAATTAATTACAATTTATGTTTTTTATATTACTATTATTATTATTATTATTATTATTGGAAAAACCTAAAATATAAATCTTTAATTTTCTTGTAATTCTTTTTTAATTAGAATGGGCTTTATTAATTATATAATTGTACATGAACAACAATATAATATTTTTGTAGTTTGTTTTTTGATTTTCATTTTACATTATATGGGTGGGGCTTGCAGCAACAACGAACATGAACATTATGTCACAGAAGAAATTCCAGAGATCAGAATTTTTAAAATCACAATTGTACTACCAATACGTGATCATGACACAAAATGGTGAGTGTTTTGTTTTCATAATAACTTTTTAAACCCTCCATACCACTAATTGATTAATTGTGATGTTTCAACTTGATTGATTCTAATTAGATACATGCATCATAATGAAACATTTTTTGAATGGGTTACACATTCAAGACTCTATTAAAACGCAATATTTTTTGATTGATCCTTTTCTCCTTTTCTTTTTACTATACTTATAATAATAGGTTGGCTGAATTTACATTAGAAACAATATAACCAACTGAAAACCAAGTTGCGAATATCTTTACAATGATATTTAACAAAATACTTATAGATTGTTGGCTGGCCTTTATCTGTTCATTATAAAACTTACAAGAACCAGTTCTATAACATAAACTAATATATGTCATCAAAATTGATTTGACTTTTTTTTTAATTACGTTGCGTCTGACTCGATTTATATTTAATATGTTTTTCAAAAAGTCACCTGATTGAGTCAAGTGATCAAATTATTTTTACTACATGAACGACTCAATATCAATATAACAGAGAGAGCCTGTAAACTTAAAATAATACAAGTAAACTGGTTAGTATTTGGAATTTGATAAAAAGGTTGAGCAGGTCTTGGCTTTTTTCATGGAAACTGGAATTCGGAGAAAGAAATGGAATGAAAAACCAATCCTGGAAAAAAACAATGGAAACAATTTCAGGAATGTGCTGTTGAAAAGCGATGGAGGATGAAGAAAATAATGAATAAGTATTAATGTTAATAGAGGTTCTATTAGAATTGCCAAAGAATAGGCGATACTCATAAATGGCTTCAGATCCTGCTTTGGTGATTTTCTATTATATAGCTTTAATCCTTTCCTTGTACCTTTGTTTCCACATATCTATCGCAATGTTTATGGTGATTATGTAATAAATAAACTTGATGTTATTATTCAATGTTATTGTTTGACATATATGTATATGTTAAATTAATTAAAATTGCATCGCCCAAGTAATAATGCAGAAACGAAACTTTTAAGGGGCCTTGAGTATCATGCAGTCCCAGATTAAAACGTGCGCATCACAGCTATACATGAAGTCGAGCTATTTCGACCATTTGCAGATCTGGTCGAAATAGGGTCGAAATAAGGTCGAAACTGATTTTTACTATGTTGGGTTTTAAATTTCGACTTTATGTATAAATCACAGCAAGTTATTATTTCTGTTGAAATTGTGTGTCAAATTAATCTTTCTGTCATGCTGATTACTAATAGGCCGTGTTATAGTGAACATGACAGGCTTCATGGAGGGTTTCTACCCTCTCTACCCAGAATGAATTAACATTAGAAAAACGAAATATTTTATAATTGAACTCGAAATACTTGCGTAACTTTGACATTCAAAACTGCTTCAATAACCCCAAATTAAACAGACACCTCTCAGCGATCATGATTTCTTTTAGGAGAAAGACATCTTCTAAAAGGTGATTTAGCTGGCCAGAAAAAATATTTTCGAGTTAATAAATACTAATTACTTCTAACAACCAAATTTTATAAGATAATCATAGTTATGTATGACGAAAGTTTTGGCTTTAGTTATTGTCACGTGACAAAAATATTCACAAAAGCTCAAGAACCATTTTGACTTAAAGTCAAAACACTTGACGAAAGTAAAAAAGCAAATCATTAAATTTTTTTATTTTTTGATGCCTTTTCAGTTTTTAGCAATATTTCAATATCTATTTCATCACCTACTCCCCCCGCTGCCTTCCTCATTATCAGAAATTTTGTATTAACATAAATATTAAATAAATCAACTATCCCATTATTCACTCACAAAGATACTAACATTCCTTCCATAATTAAGTCCAAATTTTATAAAAAACTAAAATTAAAGATGGAAGAATTAACAAAGAGAAAAATGCATATAACTCTCAAAAAAGTAACTGTAATAGAGATATATTTCAGTGATTGAAAATTGGATTTGATCTCTGACCAAAACACAAAGTTCTAATTTATACAAGTTTCTTTTATTCTTTAATTGGTTCAAAGAAACTTACAATCACACATATAAATTCATATCTCAATGCAATTAAATAAAAGTGCTAGTTACTTTTTCCTCAATCATAAATTGTATCATCAATCAATTCACTAATATTTTTTTGCTATATGTTTTCGATGAGCATCTGTTAAATATTTGTTAACTATGTGTGATAGAAGGGGTTTTTTTGTAAACATGTCCAATTGAATAGTTAGCTTGTTCTTTGTTTTAGAAACCAATTTTACATCACAACCGTATGATGGTAACAGTTTATTAAAAGCAATTTTTCTTTAATTAATTTTAACAATCGGAATCTTTAAAACATTTATAACTGGAAGCAAAAATAGCTATATAGAATAAATTTGAAAATGTTTTTAATCTCTAGGAACCTTATCTATAACGTAACAATTATTTAGAATACGAAAATTGTATTTTCAACATGAAAGTACATCAATGTTATAAATTATTACAGGAGAAAAACATAACCATACATCGAATCCCGGAAATCTAGAATTAAGTTCAGAAAGTTATTTGTTGGCAAAGATGGCTTAGACGCAACAAAATCAGATTACTAAATATTTGTATAATGCCATACAGAAATTTAAGTCTACGTACAATGACCAATATGACGTGTCTAAAACAATTGAATTTTACAATATGGAAATCGTTATTGGAAATAGACATAGATGGGTCGGGATGTTGAAGAAGAGTATTACCATCTCAACGAATAAAAGTATGTTACAAGGCTCTTAATAATATTATAAACATTGATCAAAAACATGATGCCCTTTCAAATCAATTTACATATATTGATAATCATTTAGGTGAAATGAACAAAGCTCAAATCGTAAAGTTGTTACAACTGATCGATATGATGAATCAACTGTTATCATTGATAAAGAAAATTCTGAAGAATATGATCACAGAAAAGACATTGAAAAAATGTTCTAATTAAAACATAACAGGATTAACTTGTATTAAGTTGTGTGGATTTATTATTCCTTTGGTATGTACATGTTATAAATTGTTGATTGTGTTTGTAGACATGGATGGGTCGGGTCGGGTCAGGATGTTGGAGAAAGAGTATTGACACAATTTTTAGTATTTATAGGTTGATTATTTATATTGTTTTCAATGAATATTATTAATAAAATTGATTTACTATTATGCTTTAATATAATTAATGTGATTATTAATAATACATTGATGAGGAAGTATTAATTGATATATAATGTGTTGTGTGATAATATGTTAATTGATTAGTTTTCTCAAAGGGAAACCAAGCACACTCTCAATGATTAGCAACACTGAATAAAATAAATTTTTCCTTTTTTGTTAAATATCATTATATTTTGATTAATCCAAACATAGGGAATGCAAGTTCATTAACAGTTATAATCAAGCAATTGGCAATTACTACTAGAACCTATTCTCGCCCTTAGCATCACATCTTATTTAGATATACTAATATTTTATCTCTTAAAAATAAACAGAGTTTTATATTTTTAAATATACAGCAGCCCAAAAATCATACAAAAAAATTATTGAATGTGCATATTTGACATCCCAAATTCAAATGAAAAATTTTTTTTTCAAACATGAGAAGTTATTATCTTTACCACTATTAAATATAAATAACTATTTATCTCAAGATATTTAATATCATGCTAAATAAATAAAATAATAAATGATTTTAATATATAATAAATGACAAGATTTGACTTATTTGGGTAATTAATCTGGTATAACTAATTCAAGCTGTTGAGAATCTTCAATAGTTAATTCAATTTGTTTAGAATCTACAAAAATATTTATATTAATAAATAAATTTTAAACATTAATAAAAATAAAAGTATCAAAGATTAAATGTTAACAATTACCATTATTATTATCAATAATTGTTGCTTTATTGGAATTCATGGGTTGGGGAAGGCTTGTAAATTTTAATAACCTGCTAGTATAAACAGCATTTGGATGAATTTTTGCAGTAATTGTCAAAGGATCAAATTTTATTTTGTCCATTTTATTAAACACTTCTCTAATTGATTCTAATCCATCCTGTTCTTTTGAATATCCATGAACTTCAGGATTATTCATTATATGATTGCCATTAAGTGATTCATTCCAAATGCCAATAATCTCATGAATTTTTTCAGCAGTTGGACGTTTATCTGGATTAGCATCCATGCACCTGAATGCTAGTTCAATATAGAATCTTGGTGTGTTGTTTGAGAAACCTGGTCTTACACCTTCACATATTTTCATTGCAAGGTCTAAATCATGTGCCAGATTATTAAATGGTTGCTGGCCAGTTGATATTACAGACATCAGAACACCAAAACTATATATATCTGATGCTTTTGTATATGGTTTATTTCTTAAAACTTCTGGTGCAACATATGGTAGTACTCCAAATATATCATTTTTGTTTGATGCAGATGTTTGACTAGCTGGGCATGATAATCCTAAATCTGTAATATATGAATAAAGAATACCTTGAAGAATATTACCACTATGAAGATCACGATGAATAATTTCTTTTTCATGAATAATTTTTAAACCACTAATAATATGACGAAGGATATTAAGTTTATCTTTCCATTTTAAATTTTTAAAATTTTTTGCTAAATAATTTTGAAGGCTTCCATCTTTTTTATAATCCATTACAAATATATATTCTTTTGTAATTGGATCTTTTGTTAATCCAAAAATATGAATTATATATATATTTGAAGGAATTGTTATATAATTTTTGAACTAAAATAACAAATAAATATTTAATTACAATGATAATAATCAATAGTGTTTTAAAAAATCTGAAACCAGTATTAATAAAATAATTTACCTCATTGAGAAATTCATCAGAAATATTTGATGAATTATGTAATTTTTTTAATGCTACAGTCCTATCATCATCAGCAACAGATTTATCAGTATGTTTACAACCATTTAACCAAGTAGCTTTGTATATAGTTGCAAACCCACCTTCACCTATTTTTTCAATATTTGTTAAATTATTATAAGGAATCCATTGAAGATAATTATTATTATCATGTTCTGTTGCTTTAAGTTGTGTATTTTTAATCAACTCATCTAATGTTTTATTGCCACTAGTCCATCCTTCAGTTAATAACTTTGGATCACATGATTGACACCATAACCAATCAGTATTATATCTATAGCAGGTTGTACATTCACCATTCCCTTCTTCTCTTTTCTTTGAATATTCATCATTTTGAAAACTTCCATCTTCCATGCAATGCATTACAAATATATATTCTTTTGTAATTGGATCTTGTGTTAACCCATAAATATAAATTTTATCATGAAACTTCTTATAATTTTTGAACTAAAATAACAAATAGAATATTAATTACAACAATAATAAAATAATCAATAATATTTTAAAAAATCCGAAACTAGTATTATAAATTACCTCATTAAGAAATTCATCAAAAATATTCTGTGGGTTGTGTGGTTTTTTTAATACCACAGGCATATCTTTGCTAGCTCTTTTGTTACTAATATAATTTGCACTTTTATAACCATTTAACCAAGTAGCTTTGGATATAGTTGCAAATCCACCTTCATCTATCTTTTCAATATTTGTTAAATCATTATAAGGAATCCATTGAAGATAATCACTGTAATGATACTTGGTTGATTTAAGCTGTGTACTTTTAATCAACTCATCTAATGTTTCATTGCCACTTGTCCATCCTTCAGTTAATAACTTTGGATCACATGATTGACACCATGAATAATCAGTATTATATCTATTGCAGGTTGGACATTCCCCATACATTTTATCTCTTTTTTTCAAATATTCATCATTTTGAGGACTTCCATCTTCCATGTAATGCATTACAGAGATATGTTCTTTTGTAATTGGATCCTGCATTAACCCATAAATATAAACTTTATCATGAAACTTTGTATAATTTTTGAGCTAAAATAACAAATAAAACATTTAATTATAATTCAATAATATTTAAAAAATCTGAAAATAAATAAAAAAACAAAATAATTTACTTCATTAAGAAATTTATCAGAAATATTCTATGAATTATGTAGTTTTTTTAATGCCACTGGCATATCCTTGCTAATTCTTTCATTCTTATAATCTATACTTTTATAACCATTTAACCAAGTAGCTTTGGATATCATTGCAAACTCACCTTCACCTATCTTTTCAATATTTGTTAAATCATTATAAGGAATCCATTGAAGATGATTACTATAATGATAATATGTTGCTTTAAGTTGTGTACTTTTAATCAACTCATCTAATGTTTCATTGCCACTAGTCCATCCTTCAGTTAATAGCTTTGGATCACATGATTGACACCATAAATAATTAGTATTATATCTATTGCATGTTGGACATTCCCCATAATATTTATCTCTTTTTTTCAAATATTCATCATTTTGAAGACTTCCATCTTCCATGTGATGCATTATAGAGATATATTCTTTTGTATTTGGATCTTGTGTTAACCCATAAATATAAACTTTATCATGAAACTTCATATAATTTTTGAACTAAATAATAAATAAAATATTTAATTACAACAATAATAATCAATAATATTTAAAAAATCTGAAAATAAAATAATTTACCTTATTAAGAAATTCATCAGAAATATTCTGTGAATTATGTAGTTTTTTTAATGCCACAGGAATATCCTTGCTAATTCTTTCATTGTTATAATAGTTTATACTTTTATAACCATTTAACCAAGTAGCTTTGGATATAGTTGCAAACCTACCTTCACCAATCTTTTCAATATTTGTTAAATCATTATAAGGAACCCATTGAAGATAATCATAATTAGCATACTCAGTTGCTTTAAGTTGTGTACTTTTAATCAATTCATCTAATGTTTCATTTCCACTAGTCCATCCTTCAGTTAATAACTTTGGATCACATGATTGACACCATGACTTATTGGTATTATATCTATTGCAGGTTGGACATTCTCCATACTTTTCATCTCTTTTCTTTGAATATTCATCGTTTTTGTCGGTAGAAGTATTGTCATGATGTTTATTTTCATCCAAAGTGTTTTCCATTGTGGTTTTTTTATTATATTTGTATAATTTGTGAGAAGTTATTATCTTTACCACTATTAAATATAAATAACTATTTATCTCAAGATATTTAATATCATGCTAAATAAATAAAATAATAAATGATTTTAATATATAATAAATGACAAGATTTGACTTATTTGGGTAATTAATCTGGTATAACTAATTCAAGCTGTTGAGAATCTTCAATAGTTAATTCAATTTGTTTAGAATCTACAAAAATATTTATATTAATAAATAAATTTTAAACATTAATAAAAATAAAAGTATCAAAGATTAAATGTTAACAATTACCATTATTATTATCAATAATTGTTGCTTTATTGGAATTCATGGGTTGGGGAAGGCTTGTAAATTTTAATAACCTGCTAGTATAAACAGCATTTGGATGAATTTTTGCAGTAATTGTCAAAGGATCAAATTTTATTTTGTCCATTTTATTAAACACTTCTCTAATTGATTCTAATCCATCCTGTTCTTTTGAATATCCATGAACTTCAGGATTATTCATTATATGATTGCCATTAAGTGATTCATTCCAAATGCCAATAATCTCATGAATTTTTTCAGCAGTTGGACGTTTATCTGGATTAGCATCCATGCACCTGAATGCTAGTTCAATATAGAATCTTGGTGTGTTGTTTGAGAAACCTGGTCTTACACCTTCACATATTTTCATTGCAAGGTCTAAATCATGTGCCAGATTATTAAATGGTTGCTGGCCAGTTGATATTACAGACATCAGAACACCAAAACTATATATATCTGATGCTTTTGTATATGGTTTATTTCTTAAAACTTCTGGTGCAACATATGGTAGTACTCCAAATATATCATTTTTGTTTGATGCAGATGTTTGACTAGCTGGGCATGATAATCCTAAGTCTGCAATATATGAAACGTAACTATAAAGAATATTGCCACTATGAAAATCACGATGAATAATATCTTCTTTATGAATACCCTTTAACCCAATAATAATATCACCAAGAGTATTAATTTTTTCACTCCTTTTTATATCTTGAAATATTGCCATTAAATCACCATCACTACAACCACCACTAATGCTGCCACCGTCACCACAAACAACGCTATTCAACTATTACCATTACACAACATCCTCATTATGGTTATTTTTAAAACTTTGCGTGTTGATTTTCATAATGATTATGAAGATTAATTTGTTGTTTCCCGAAAAAGAAATCCTTGATTTTAATAATAGTAAATTAATAATAATAAGATTTCAAACTTTCTAGCATATAAAATTTTAAGTATCTTGAGGTTTAAAATGCTTGTTGGTAATAATTCCACATCGGTGTTTAATTCATTCATCATCAAGTAGAAAGACGATTGACTAAATTTAAGCTAGTCAATGATGGATTGTGCAAAAATATCTGGTCACCTGTTGTCGTTCTACCATGTAAGTTGCAATGAAAATGAAAATTTCCATAGACATTTACCAAGTCGTAATTTTTCCATTTGAGCACAGAATGCAGAGGACTGTCCTCCATCTGTTTTCGCATACGTTCTAATGTATCATCGTCATGTTACACTTTGAACGAACCAACTTTGGAAGTTTTAAACTCGGAGATCTTCAAAACTACAAGACGGCCAAGACTTTCCATACGGCAAAATTCTTTATAAAGGGTTCTCCACACACACACACGCCGCCCGTTTTTCTTTCATCTAGCATTAAACACAAATCTAACAATTATTCTTATAGGAATCATAGTTGCTTGATGATGCAGGTCTCCTCCATTTCTTGACTGATACTAATTGCACCAGAGGTAGTTGCATCGGAGGTAGTGACATCATCAGGAAATTAAAACCTACGCCGAGGGTCAAAATCGATACTATCAAGTGATTCTGGTAACACCTCCGCGTAGGTTTACATAAGATTTAATTTCCTGATCTAGTAATTGTGTTGGTTATAATGATTGAATTGGGGGGTGATGTTAATGGTGGTGGTTTTGTTTGTTGTAAGAATTGCATCATCTGTGTGGCAGTGATTGAATGGATTGATGGTGGTGATGTTGGTATGAAAGCATGTATTTTTTCACTTTTATTGGTGGACTGCTCTTTTTAATATTAAAGAAGTCAAAATAAATCGGTGCGACGGTTGTCTTTTTGGTGCACAAATTCGTTCTCGATTTTATCTGATTCTCCTTGTCATTCAAATTTAAAGGTACACACACATTCATTTTAAATTTTCATTCGATTCAGCAATTCCAGTATCAATCTTATGTCTTTTCCTACCAAACAAACCATTATTGGTTGTTTGTTTTTAGAAACACAACCCATTATAAAGATATGATGAAATTTACAAATTTATTTTAATTGACTACATTTTCAATTATTTAAAATCAATTATATTATCGCGTGATTTTACCAGAATGATTAATATTAATATTAAAAGTAAATTGGCCAACAAAAGAGGGTCTGAAATTTTAAATTTTAAAATGCCTCGACTTTAAGATCCAATAACTCCGCAAAATTTTATGACAATTAAAAAAGCAGACAGATAGAAATGAAGCTTAGGTCCTTAGCTTTAAATTTATCAATTTACTTTTTTCATTATCATAAAATTTTGTGGAATTATTGACTTTCAAAGATCGTTGATTTTAGTATCGTCTTTAGACGTGACCATATTTTGTAGTTTTTTAGTGTTACACGATTTTAAAGCAACTGTGCGTATATTTTTAACTAGCTAATACCAAAGGACGTGTTTACGTTGTTATGAGCAGAGCATCTTCGTTGAATTGTTAGGATTTGATTTTGATTGTGTGAAAACGGACAACCTGGTCTTAAGGGAGACCAAAAAAAGATAAAATGAAATGAGAAAAATCCAAATGGGGGGTTTTTTTTTTGACAATTGATATGAGAGATGTTTGTTTTATAAATATTTCCATTCGTCATATTGGGAATATGTGGTTAGGAACTTCTCTGATCAAAATTAAGATTTTTGCATATATTAAGGGTTGCAATTGGTGAGAAAATTTGCTTAGTATTAGCACAATAATGAGATACAAGAGAAAATTTAAAAACATGTATAACATAATTTTGCAGGGACCCGGTCGGGGAAATTTATATTAATATTAATGTTAATATACGAACCCACATTTTGCTAGATAATATTAATAATTTCGTGTTACCAAAGTTTAAAGTTGTAACATATTATTATGTGTTCCACTTGTTCATATATATATGATATGCTAAAAAAAAATTTTTTTAAAAATGGAAAACACTTTAAATGAAAATAAACATCCTGATGATACTTCTACTGACAAAAATGATGATGAATATTCAAGGGAAAGAGACAAAGAATATGGAGAATGTCCAACTTGCAATAGATATAATACCTATCATTCATGGTGTCAATCATGTGATCCAAAACTATTAACTGAAGGATGGACTAGTGGTAATGAAACACTAGATGAGTTGATTAAAAGTACACAACTTAAAGCAACTGCATATGGTAATGATTTTTATCTTCAATGGATTCCTTATAATGATTTAACAAACATTGAAAAGATGGGTGAAGGTGGTTTTGCAACTATATACAAAGCTACCTGGTTAAATGGTTATAAAAGTGTAAATTATCATTATAACAAAAGAACTAGTAAGGATTTGATTGTGGCATTAAAAAAATTACATAATTCACAGAATGTTACTAATGAATTTCTTAATGAGGTGAATTATTTTATTTATCTATTGGTTTTCAGATTTTTCAAATTATTATTTATTACTTTCTCAATTTCAATATATTTTTTTTAGTTCAGAAACTATGTTACATTTTATGATAAATCATTTATAATTAAGATTCATGGATTAACACAAGACCCAGCTACAAAAGAATATATCTTTGTAATGGGCTACATAGAAAATCGAAGTCTTCAAAATTATGAAGACCCATATATTAGAAACAAAGAATATGGGGAATGTACAACCTGCAATAGATATAATACCCATTATTCATGGTGTCAATCATGTGACCCAAAGCTATTAATTGAAGGATGGACTAGTGGCAATGAAACATTAGATGAGTTGATTAAAAGCACACAACTTAAATCAACCAAGTATCATT